GCATCACAAAACTCTTTAACCCTTTCTGGAACACCCAACCCCTGCACTCTTCCCTAGCAGTCACAACTCAGCCATTCACCTCTTTTACTACTATACAGAGTTGGATCACTTCCCTTGGGGGACTTAGCACCTCTTTGAAGCCAAAACATTCATTAATCACTATCAGGCAAATAGTACTGCTATGAGAATTGTGGGGGGTATCCCCCTTTCTCTGATGAATGCAATAAACCTGTATCATGAAAACACATCTGACAACTGCATCCCCTCCCAACTATTTCATACTAGCTTGCTCTGATAGTCATGTTAATAAGCTCTTCTTATATGAAGGACCACTGCTAAGCATATCCCACTTGCAAATGAGGCTTTGCTAAAGGCAGCTAACCCTGTTTGAGAGGCTCTTTCCCCAGCAATGGCTATTTTGATAAATGACCATTTTAAATTTCCCACCATGCACCAGAACCATGCTGAATGAAGGGCATTGTGGGAAATGGAAATTTGCTGCTGCCCACAGCAAGCTATTCTGGGAACAGAGATTCCCACGGGCTGGTAGGTTTTGAATGTGGCAGATGCTGACATGGGTTTATCAGAAGACTACATTAGAGAGAAGGTCCTTTCAGTTGGAAACCATGCTTGTTCTCTTCAGAGACACTGAGATCTTTTGACATCAGGCTATGTCATTCTCTTAAAAGCATTTTTATGTCAGTTTTCGGTGGGTTGTGCAAAATTCTTTGAATTCCAAACACCCTACTTTGAGTGCAAATCACCCTGCTTCATATTAAAAAGTCTGAGTGCAAAATATGGTGTTTCAACCATTCTGGAGGTGTTCAAATTAGAGCATTTTGAACTTGAAACACTTCCAAACTATCAAAGCAGCCTTTCCCATATTTGAAATCAGGCATTTCTAACTCAAAAAGATTTCTTTTCCAATTCAGATCCCTTCTAATTAAAAATATTTTGCATATTCCTAGTTTCAAGTAAAGGGACAGCAAAAATTCTCCATTTTCTTTGATGGTTCTCATAAATTCAGTGGAGAATTCTGAAAAGCCATTTGTATTCAGTTCTAGTTTTAAGTGCCTACATAACTCTAGGACAATGACTTTAACTTTTTTTTCTTCTTCTGCCATTAACTAATGTACGGTTTTTACTGCTTTAAATATTTTAAATCACTTTCCAACTTGCTTCAGAGAACTGGGGCATATTAAAAATAAAAGACATAGAAATTTAGATTTTCCTTTTTTTTTTTTTAGGTCAGGAATCTCTCCTGTGGCATTTTAAAATGTCCCAAATTGTTCAGTTTTGACTCAAGTAAAAAGACATCCCAGACTGTCCTCTTTGGCTTCAAAGGGAAGTTGGTTCTTCCAGCCCAGGTAAATAAAGCATTCCAAATGACAAACTTAGGAGCTGGGAGAAGAATTGGCTCTGATTCTCTCAGGATATGCAATTCAGGGGCTGCAGATGTACTCTGAGAAATGTTTTCCTGGAAGCTGCCCCAATGAACACTGTAGCGATTTCAACTTTAACACAGGCATACAGGCATACCATTCATACCTACTGCTTTTCCCTTTTGAGGTTAATGACATTATGCAAAGCACAGAAAAGAAATAAGAAATAGTAAGCAAAAGAAATAAAGGATAAGAACAAAATCTAGTTTCTGCCAACTCCAATCGCTATTCCTCTCCATATAAATCTTTGCAAACCAGCCTTACTTCCACAATGTCCATGCACCATTTTATACATTACCTTTCGTTCTTCAAACATCTCACTTCTCTCCTATATGGATCTCATCAACTTCACCCAACCATGATTTTCTAAGTCACCCCCTTCCTCTCAACCCATTCAACTCTTCTTTCATATAGTTGTTTTGTGATCCAATCCTCAATCATTCTCTCCATATGACCATACCACTTCAATGTACTTCTTTCACACTGGTCACTCACTTTTGGATTCAATCCACATTTATTCAGCACCCATTTATACCTGTCCCTATTTCTTCTTGTTTTGCCACACACACTTCTTAACCCATTGCATCCAACCTGCTTTCCCGTTTCTCTTGGCATACACAACTATCAGTTCCTATAACAAAGTGGGCAGAAGCAATTCTTATACAAGCCATCCTCACTTCTTTCAACATTCAATTCTCACAGAGACCACTTTCTCTCAGTATTTGCATGTCTTAAAATTTCTCCCTCCATTTTCCCAACTCTAATAAACATTCTACCGAAGTTTTCATCTACTTGTTTGGCTTTTTTTTAACCACTTATTTATAACTTGCAATTGTTCACTCCATTTTCCCTGTCAACCTGGACTTTGATACGTTATTTTCAAATACATACATAGTTACATCATACTATCTATCTAACATTTACTGCAACTCATGCAGGTTCTCAATCAGTAACACAGTATCATTTGCATATATGAGAACACATATCTTTATACCTCAACAAACACACCTCTGCCATCCTTACACATTTATCCATAAATACATTAAACAATCAAGAGGACATCTTCATTTTAATCTCTGTTTAATGTTGAACCATTAACTAAGCATTCAGTTTATTCACAGGCATGTTTCCCTTCCATTATATTCCACTGTTATCTCATTCAGCAGCCAACCTTTATCTATACTTCCATGAAAAACTTTCTATAACTCAATTCTACTTTATCTCTAAGCTGTCTCTAATTCAATAAACATACAATATACTTTTTTCTCATGTTTGTACACTTCTCAATGACCTACTGAAGAACAAAAATCTGGTTTGCACACCTGTGTTTAGTATAAAGTTGCACTGAAATTCCCAAATTTCTGATCTAGAGACTACTTTGCTAGCTAGCATACAGTTGTACATGTATGACAAGTCTATGTACTCAGGATGTTTTCATTTTAATTGATTTGGTTTTAAGTTTGGTTTTATGCTTTTACTCTAAATCATGGAAATACTTTGATAATTGATCATTAATGGTATAACAATTTCAGCAAATAAATAAGAAAACATAAATCAACTATTTATGTGTTGATTGTTATACATTTCTAGCTTAGCTGCCAAGATCAGCTCCAATTTGTGGAAGAATAATTCTCCAGGGTCTACTCATGAAAAAGTAGAACCCCTTTATACTTTCTCATTTGGATCACCTCTTCTAAACTCTACTCTGTAACTTTCTGCAGTGCTTCAGATTGTTCAAAGAGGAAACGCAGGAGGATAACAGTGTGCAAAATGTCTGTGGGTTTGGGTATATATGTGGATGGATGGATGGAGAGAGAGAGAGAGAGAGAGATGGTTTATGCAGACTAGTTTCTAAAAGATTGTGCTGAGAAAGAAACATAAGTAACTTTAAACACCAACAATTAGCTGAACTCACTAATAAAAGAAGACAAAGGGTTTCTATTTCCGTTGTCAAGATTCTGTACTTTAACCCCTAATCCTTGGCATTAAAGAACATTGGAAAAAAGTCTGTGTGAATTTTGCTTCCTTGATCATGTTCTGCAGTTCAGGGGCTTGACCCAAGCTTGGTTACAGCCAGTAACTCTGATCAAATCTATATGTATGACAAGCCCCCTTTCACAATAACTGAATCTATTTACCTTAATGAATCTATCTTGCATGCAATAGCTCTGGCAGCAAGGTCAACAAGTCTCAACACATAGACACAAGCAAGGTTTTCCAAACCACCAGGAAATAGCCTTAATGAGCACACTATACAAAACACAGCCTATTGCAACACAGAGAGACAGACTCCATGGCCTAAGTCAAAGTCATTCTTTGGCAGCACTACAGATCAGGTGCTCCCTGTAAGTACACACAACACATCTTGCTCTGCAAAGCCTACAGCATTTGCAGAATGCAATGGGAAAAAAGCTGTGCCACAGAGAAAAGGGAGTGACTCAAGCAGTGTTGGCTGTGAGAACCAGGAAGAGACCCGGTCCTCTAAATATTGGGTTCAGCTATTCCATCAAAAGAAATTAATACACTTTTGGGATCCTCTGGCTCCATACAAGGGTTGGGAAAATGCCAGGAGCAAGCCTGGAGGGTGTGCACAAGCAATCCCAAAATGCTTCCAGCTGTTTGGATTCTATCCAACAGGGGAGGCCAACTTACCATTAGCCTGATTTCATCTTGGCCCTTCTCTGCAATCCCCACCATGGTCTTTTGCTAAATACAGTCTGAGTTAGAAAATGATTGCTACAGGCACACCAAGAAAAGTTCTGGTCCTTGCAACCTGAAGTTTGATTAACCAGATGGATAGATTGGACTCCTTTCCACCACCATCCCCCATGCAATCCATTCAACTGGGGGCACAGAGTAAGAGCGTCAAGCAACCCAAAAGAGCAGAACTGGTCTTTCATAGCCTTCCCAAAGATTTTAATTTGGAACTAAGAATCAAGCCCGACATAATATGCCAGGACAAAGGCCAACGGGAGCTAGAACACAGTACAGCGTAGGGTGATTCAACCTTTTGGTCCTGCTGCCTGGGCTGGTCAAAGATTCTTTGTTTCTTGGGGCAGAGGAGAAAATGATGCTCCCACCTCCAAGTCAAGGCACATAATACCCAAACCCAGTTCAAGTTATATTGGCACTCCAGGCAGAAAATCCTAGAGTTTCTCTTGCCATCTCTGGGAGTAAAAATAATATAGCTAACTAACCACCCAGTGATTCTTTCATGACACCAAACTCTGCCACTTGAGGCAGGCAATCCATTCTGCCTCATGGCAAGGCCAGCCTTGTTTGCTCTGCTCCAAGTGAGATTCCTCACCCACACCCTCTGATACGGCTACTATACACAGCGGGAGGAAAGTCCCCATAGAGGCCAATGAACAGTTTCTTCCCATAGCTGTTAGATGTGAAAATACACGACAGGGTCACCAAAGTTTCAACACACTCGCTGTTGATCATAAGCACGCAGATGGGTTACCTATTCAGATGCAACAAAGTTATTTGCTGTGCCAAAAGTTTCCTTCTGCCTTAGACAGAATTAAGGCACAGCCCACAGAAGGCATTTCTTACCTCGCACATCTGCAGCTGGAAAGTACGGCGTTCCTTCTGCAGGTCCTCGGTGATTTCAGTGGCTGATGGTTCAGTCTGGATGACTCCAGATATCTTGGCTCGCTCCTTCTCCTTCTCCAGCTTTGCTCTAGGGCAACAGAGAATCCCAAAAGCAACATGATGAATGGATTTGGAATAATTTGTGGCGTCTCTATGGTGTGCAGGGAATTCTACAGGTGGATGTTGCTGTAATCTGTCTGAACGCTGTGGTCATATTTTAATACCGATTACAACATAGGAAAATGCCTTAGGCCTAGGTCACACCATGATCCACTTGGCTCAGTCCAGGCTGTATGATGCATTGGCAGCTTCTAACCAGCATTTCAGAATGAAGGCCTTTCCTCAAGATGCCAGGATTGAACCAGGGGCATTTTACAACAACCGCCTGCATTCTGCTGTTGAGCTATGGTGTTTCTCCTCTGATTCAAGGAAGATTCTAGCTTTGTACTCCTTAAAGCAGTGTTTCTCAACCTTGGCAAGTTTAAGATGTGTGGACTTCAACTCCCAGAATTC